TGGCTCAGTGGTAGAGCGCTTGCCTTGCATGCCTGAGGCCCTGGGTTCGATTCCTCAGCACCACATAAGCAAAAACAAAAAAGCTGGAAGTGGCGTTGTGGCTCGAGTGGTAGAGCGCTAGCCTTGAGCTGAAGAGCTGAGGGACAGTGCCCAGGCCCAGAGTTCAGGCCCCACGACCGGACCCCCAAAAAAAAACCCACAGCTAAACTAAGGGGCCTCAAACCTAGCTGCCCAAGACATTCACTGAGAGAGCCCAGTTAAAAAATACAAAAGCCTGGGTGCCACCAACCCTAGCTAAATCAGAATGCGTTGGCAGACTGCCCAGGAGATATGTTTATATTTGTGTTATGGAAAGAAGATACACACTATTCAATTTACCATTACAACCATTTTAAAAGGTATGATTCAGAAGCATTAAGTGCACTCACCTTGCAAAGAAATCCATGACCACAATCCATTTCTGTATCATCCCAAACAAACTCTGTACCCCCATACCACCACCATCCTGTAACTCTGCCATCAACAACTCTTGTCTCTCCCCCAGATCCTGACAATCAATCTTCTCCTTTCTGTCCCTCTGGTGTGGCCTGTTCTAGGCACCTCATAAAGTGAGATTGTACAGTTCAACCCTTCTGCATGTACCGTACTTCACTTAGCAGAATGTCTTCTTCAAACTTCATCTATGTTGCAGCTGATACCGTAATTTCCTATTTGACAATATTTCTATAAAATATATTACATTTCATGTATGTAGTATATTACATATATCAGTGTATATGAATGATTATTTGGTTATGTTGAAATTAATAATATATTGTGCATCATGTTATATCATATATGTTACATATATCATATGTCTATTATATAGTTATACACACACACATATGCTCTATCTTTTGACTGCTCTGAACACGGTGGTTGAAGTCTGAGTTGCTTACGGTTCTGTTGAGCTGCTGAATTGTGGTATAATTCTGTTTAACCTTTTGAGGAATTGCCAAATTGCTTTCAACCGATCACCTGTACTTTGAGCACTCATGATGATGCCCAAGCATTTGTTCATCTGCCAAATACCCCAGAGCCCTTGCCATGGTACCGAGCTAAGCTCTGGAGATGCCAAGGCCCTGTGGGTCTCCCCAGCCCTCACTGGTGTATGCAGAAACCGGCAGAGGCCTAAGGAGGGAAGCAGGAGTTGAAGTGGACACAGCAGTGGCTGGGAAGAAGCTCTAGGCCCCCAACTTCTAGATGGGCTCCGAGACCGTGCACTGCCCAGTGGATTGTGGCCCAAGGGATGTATGCTACTTCCAGGCCCAGCTCCCAAAGATCTCCCTGGACACCGTCTGCTCTCTCCAGCTGGGTGCGAATGCCCACGGGCAGCTCGGCAGGTAGCTGGTGAAGGTGGCCACGCTTCCTTTGACCTGGGCTCCTGCACGGCCGTTCAGTGGTAGGACCCTCACCAGAGCTAACTGGACTTCATATGAGCAAGAAATAAACTTTCAATGTCTGAAGCCACTGCAGGGGGGGGCGTGGTCATTAGCCGGCATCTACTTCACTTCTGCAGATGAGTGGTCCTCTCTTGGGAGCCAGGTGCAGCCTCTTTCCCGCAAGCCACAACCCCCTCCCCCTCCCCTACACACATCCCAGCACGGGCAAAGGGTTGGGGGAGAGCTGTGGTGAGCTCCCAGGGCCCCCGTGTCCATAGGACGGGAGAGCCGCCTCGAGGCAGGCCTCTGTCCTTCTGTCCGGAACTGTCGGTTTGCGCTCCTGGGGTTCAAATGTGCCCCCCCACCCCCGATAATTCATGCAAGGGAAAATTAACTGCAGATGCCATGTGAGTAGGGTCTGGAGGCGGGCCATGAGGTGGACAACCCCCATGGCGCCTGTGGCCTTAGGAGACACCAGAGCTGGCCCACTGCTGTCTCACCAGGTGATGCCCTCTGCCATTATGAGACTGCAAGAAGGCCCATACTAGATGCCGGTGGAGGCTGGTGCTGCACTCGTTTGGACTTGCCAAAATCATGAGCAAACCAATGCTTGTGTGTAAATGAGTCTCGGGTGTGATGCCAGAAACCAGGCCAAGAGGACAGTGGAGGTGTCTCACCGCTGACAGCTCAGCCAGCAAAGCCCACCTCCCCCCGGCCTGCCCAACTTCCACCCCAAAGGCTGCTGCCGCAGCTCCCCCAAGACCCCAAAAACAAATCTCATTCCAACCCCCTCTTCCCCACAGCAGCCCCCACATTGTTCTTAGCTAACCAACTCGCCAGGGTGAAGAGTGCCTGACTCATCAACCAGGAGCATAAAGCACGTTGCGGCTGCAAGGATCAACGTGGGCAGGGGCGATGGCCAGACACCACGCCCTGCTCCGCATCGCCTTCCGGGACAGCAAAGGTCCACACCATTCTGGGCCCTTGGTCCTGCCTGTCTATGGCTACTCAGGCCCCATCGGCACCTCATTGTCAAACTGCAGAATGGAGAGGAAGGATAGGCCTGTCTTTCTCCAGGCCTCGTGCCCAGCCGGCCTGGGTCCTCTGCAGTGTGTCAGCTGTCTGTGGGCAGGCCTGACGGACAGGGCCCATACCATGCTGTGCACCAATTGCAGGACACAGTGATGGCAGATCCTCCAACTTCCAACCATCATCTCTCCACAAGCTGCTAGGACCAGCGGTCCCTTCCCAGCACCCTCCCTCCTTGACCCCCATCTGCCTCCAACTCCCCAACTCCTCAACACAGTGGAGCCTCAGAGGGGCAGGGGCGGCCACTCTGCTTCACCTGGAGGTGCATGCATGCAGACTGACCGGGGAAGTCAGGCCCAGATCCCGTCCTCCCAGGAAACTGGCATGCATATGCCTGGGCTGGCCTCAAACTATGATTCTTCCTCAATCAACCTCCCAGGTCGCCCTTTGCATGTTTTAAATTGGTTTTCATATATAAATCTATGAAGCGTGCTCATCTCAGTTGGTTCTAGTAATTTTGTTTTTACAAATCCAAGATTGTATAACTGCTTGCACCACTGGAGTAGAAAAATAAAATAATCTAACTTTGCCCATGAAGTTTTAGGGGCAGGGGAGTGGTCTCTGGTTTATCTGCATGTCAGAAGCAGGTAACAGGACAGGGCTGGGGGAGCTTCCTGAGGCCAGCTGGCCAGGCACTCTAAGGGAGCAAGGATGGAGCAGAGTTCTACGCTTCCAAGTCAACTTGGTTTCTGCTCCTCTACAAAAATGGAGCTGAAAGTGCCCCTATCAATATCTACATTGTTGGAATCGGATACCCAGGAAGGTGTTTGTGAACAGTACATCCTCCTTCCTCCCTCCTTCTCGGAAGGAAGCGTTCCGAAAGCGAAGCCAGTCACCGGCGCTGCCTTGTACAGAGCAGGCCTGCAGATTTAATTGATGCAGAAACACAGGGTTGTCACCAGAGTTGGTTGTATCACATGAGCTATTCCCAAAGCACACAGAATAAGCCAAACAACAAAATGAATTTTTTTTTTTCTAAAAACTATCTGTGGGGGTAAAAAAAGCCAATCGGACACAGTGCCTTATTCCACGGCAAAGAAACGAGCAGAGGGGATGGTGCTTTCTGTGGGTTGGAGGGCAGAGGCAACCCTGCAGTTTTGAAGACAAGAAAAATGGGGACATTTTGTTTAAACAATAGGACAGATGTCAGAGCACATTGCCTGCCACCCGAGGAGCCTGCTGATGGGAAATGCGGCTGCAGGAAGCGGTGCCAGCCAGGCAGCAGCTCCACCTGGTACAAGACCTCCCTGCCAGCGCCAGGCCCCAGCCCAGCCCTTCCTGCCAAGCTCTGAGAGGAGGGGCAGTGAGAGGGGGCGGAGTGGCACAGGTGGAAAAGACAGGCAGAAACAGAACACAGGAACAAAATAACCAGAGCAAAGACCAGAAGCCGCACAGTTTTTCCCTATGGCTTTTTGGCTTCCTGGAGACGGGGAATGTCTGAGACCTGAGAACGGGCCAGGAGGCCCAGGGAGGAGCTACAGGCAGGACAGTGCCAATAAAGCGCAGTGTGGCAGAGGAAAAAGAGCATCCTCAGCATGGATCCGCAGCTGAGGGCTGGCCTGAGACAGTCAAGAGGAGAGACAGAGTGCTCAAGAACGGAGTCATTTTTTAAAAAGTTAAAAAAAGGAAAAAAAGAGAGGAAGGATGTGAAGCCGAGGTACTAGACAGCTGAGACAGGTCCAGGCCGGGAAGAGCCAGGTCCTAGGTGCGGACATGCCGGGAGGCCTTGTCCCACTCATCAAGGACCTCGCCTTCATGGGCCCCAAGCAGGGGCCTGAGACCAACCCATGTGTCTACAGGCAGCTCCTTGAATGTGACCCTGACTCCCAAAGGTGCTCAGATCCCAGAAGCCCCTGGGCAAGAACATGTCATCGATGTTGACCCGGGAGCTCATACCCGTCCACAGTTAAGCCCAAGACAGCCTGGTCACAGAGTACGCAGCTGTCTCCAGCCGTCACATCCGTTCCCTCCACCCCTGGACCCACCCCATGGTTCCTCTGAGTCCTGAGTGGGGCACGTGGCGAGGAGGTGGAGGAGGAGGAGGAGGAGGAGGCTTCCACGGAGGCACTTGGTGCGGGGAGGCGGCCGGCTGCCTCTGGCCCCTGGGGCTCAATAGCGATACACATTCAGTCTGTTGTTCTCGTCCAAGCCCAGCTGCAGCAGCTCCGAAGTGCCTGTTGACTTGGACACTGAGAAGAGATGTCTGGCCACAAGGTAAAGGAAAACTGTGGTAGGCAAGCACATCTAGGTGGGGGCCAGGAAAAGGTCAAAGTGGGAGGCGCAGCAAGGAGCGAAGGAGCGAAGGGGCTTGGGAGCAGCTAAAGGATACGTCTGGGGGTTGTTCTTGAAATCTTCTAGCCACTTGCGATTAGACTCAATCATCTTCTGAATGTCGGTGTTGTTCATCTCGGGGACTCGGGAATGGGGGCGCTGCAGGAGGCGGAGCTGCTCACTGGGAAGGGGGAGAAGTGGAAGAGTGAGGGGAGAGGAAAAGGACAGGCCTGGGTGTCAGAGGTAGGGGACATGCAGGAACACAGCGAGTCCATGACAGCGCCTCCTTCCTCTTCTCACAGCACTGCCCCAGCCCTCTTTAGGGTCTCTACCAATTCAGAGCTGCCTCCAAAAGGTAAGCTTCAGCGGCCAGGAGGGAAAGGGGAACTGCCTGTCCCCATCCCTCGGGCGCTTGCTGCTGACCTCGGTGCCAGGATCCCACATCTGCCTATCTCCAGCCACGTGACCAGCAAGACGCTGTGTCAACTCACACACTTGCCCAGCTTCCACTCCCAAACTGGCCCAAAGGAACAGGGGTGCACTTAGCGGGGGAGAGGCGGGGAGACAGAGATGGGGGATGTATTTGGCAAGAAATATGATGAAAGGGAAATTAGGCACAGGTTTAAATAATTGCCTGTCCGTCTCCCACATGGGGGTCCCTCTCAGCCCAGATGTTGCACAGCAGGACTTGGAGAAGGGGGCTGTGGGAAGCCAAGAGCTCGGTGGCAAAGGCAAAGGCCAGCTTCCAGGGCTGGAGGGGCGCTATGCGAGGCCAGAGTGCGAGGCCCCTCCACAGGCTGCTTCCTCCCGGGCAGCTTCCAGGTGGAGCTGGCTGCGGAGCACAGCCCACCCACACTGGATCTCAGCAGTAGGGACTTGGCTGCTCCCTGGCTTTGGACCAGCACCTAAGACCTAGGCAAGGTCTGTGGACTGGGACCTGCCTGTCCCCCCCCCAGAGCAACACAGGGCCCCCCAGCCCAGAGAAGCGTGGCTTATCATGAGGGTTCATCCCGAGCCCACAGCGACATTTACCTGACGGGCACATAGCCCATGCGGTTCTCCAGGGGCATGGAGCAGCTGCTGAGCAGCGGGATGCCAGCTGATAAGGAGAGAACAGAATTTAGAGCAGGCGAGGGGTCAGCTGGGCCAGCCGCAGTCCTGTGGACCACCACCCTGCCCCGTCATCCCGCCAATGCGCGAGGCAGCACCCTCAGCACACACACCCAAAAGCACAGAGTGAGAGACAGGTGACAGACAGGAACTGTCCTATTTATTTCTAAGCTTCATTTTTAATTTTGAGTGGGCCAAAAGAAGAGATTTTTTCACATTTTCCCTCAAATGACTGTTTTTGATGTTTCTCGCGTTCCTCAGCAAGGAATGAGACCGAGGGAGGAAGCGAGGCCCCGTGACCAGGGGAAGCCATACGGCCAAGGGATGATGAGCAGAATCCTGGATTCACACAGAAATGAGGTCAAAACCCAGGTACTTACTGAGCCTTACCATAGGTCTGTAAGATGGGGATAAATTACCACCTCAGAAAATTAGGACATGGTCTAAGTTAAAAATATGTGTATGTGTACCTGTACGTGCATATCTATGTAACTAGACACAAGATGATAGCCATTATGGTGATGACAATGGCCTTTCATGCTCTGCTGAGCTCCGGAAACCACAGTGAAGCCCAAGCAGCCCCGCCTCCACATGATGCCACAGCGCCTCGGGCTGCAGGATTCTAGCAAGGTCTCCGTTGCCAGGGACCACAGAGAGAGCCAATGGCTCAAAGTTGAGAGCAAGGTAAGAAGAAAAAAAGAGTAAAAGAGTAGGAAAGGGAAGAGGAAGAGGAGATGGCGAGGCACAGCCCAGAAACAGTGGGGCCAAGGGAGACTCACAGGGAAAATACTTGCGCCATTTCTCCAGCAGGAAGTCATCCACTGATTGAGCACTGCTGCATGAAGTGGGCCTGGGCCCAGGGCCCGGGCCCCGGGCCCAGGCCCACGGGGTGGACGTGGGTGAACTGGAGGATAGGGATGAGGCTCTAGTCAGGGAGGCATACGCAGGACTGGAGGCACTCTTGCAGGAGCGGGGTGAGAACGGAGCTGGGGAGGAGGTTAAGACAGGCACAGGCTGAGAGTTGAAGCTTCCCAGCACACCGAGGACACTGTTGAGCTCACTGCTGATCCGCTGGAGCGAGCTGCTCAGGTAATTGATCTTGTTGGAGGCAATGGGATTGGGAGTCGGGGTGTCTGGAAAGAAAGCGTCAGATGGTGAGGAAGGACTTGGCTCCAGGGCTCTGGGAAGTTAGTTGGCACTCGGCACTAGCTAGTGTCCCTCAGCCTCATGAAGGGACAGAGGGATAGCAGGGCTTCTGTGTTCCAGACAGTGCGGGGCCCAGCGGGGAGATAAGGAAGAGAGAAGACCCTGCCCGGCCTGCAGGCCAGAGAACAGAGGGCAGGGGGCAGGGGGCAGGGGGTCTCCAGGAAGCCTAGGAGAGGCATAGTCTACTGTGTTCTGCAGCACCCCAAAGGTTTTCCTTGGCCTTTTAGGCCTCATGCTACCAGCTCAGCCATCTACCCTGTAGGGCTAGGCAATGCTATTTGGACATATGTCCCCCACACTCCCCACTCTTCCCAGACACTGGAGGCTTCACCCTGCCTCTCCCTCCTCCGTCCACCACTTACCCCGAGCCAGAAAACACGATTCAGAGCTCTCACTGTTCGTATCTTCTGTGTCACTGAGGTCGAAGGTCACCTTCTTGGTGGAGGCTCCCCTCAGGGTGTCCTCATCTGAGGCCTGATGGGCAGAAGCAGCTGTTAGTGCCGTCCCTTCCCACACGCCTTCTTCCTGCTACCCTTTCTCCCTGGGGCACCGATGGGTCAGCAAACAACAGGCAGCAAGGCTGTTTCACCAGCCAAAAGGCCAAGCTGCCACCAATTCTGGGCCCTAGAGGCCCAATTCCATCTAATCCAGGACCAAGAACCCAACCCCACTCCAGGAGCAGCAGAGGGAGATGAAGCCACCTCCTCCACAAGAGAGGACTCCAGCTGATTCAACTTCTCTTCCTTCTTCTTCAGGAGGTCATGGCCTCTCCGCATGATGGACTTCATCTCATCCAATTGCTTGGTCTCCTGCAGCCAGGGAGAAGGAAAGGAGAGGTGACACACTGCGCAGACTTTGGCTCAATGCTCAGGAACAAATCACCTCAATGAGGCTGCTCGTATGAAAAAGACTACTTTGCATCAGGTCATGAGAACTAAATCAGAGGGTGTGTTACACGTTTCATACCCATGTTTCATGCCCACACCAGCCAGGAGTGGCAGCATGCCATGCAGAGAGCACAGATAAGAAAGACAGTGGCCCAAGACCAAATAATCTAATGCTGAGATACTGTTGTGTCCAAAAGATTTTCACTGATCAAATCCTCCAACCTCAGTCATACTCCACATCTGGAAAACTGCATTGTAATACATAGCAGTTGAACGTCCCTTATCCAAGATGCTTGGGATCAGAAGTGTTTCTCACTGTGGAGCTTTCCAGATGGGATTCTTTGCATAGACTTTGTATCACCTGGTATTTTATGTATGGGTAACATGAAGTCCAAACCACTCACTATGAAGGAAGGTGTTTGCGCTACTGCACTGCCACACCTTTGGAGACCCCAAAGGTGAGGCCCCCCCCTCAGTGTGGATCAGTGGGCTCTGCTCAAGGCTCCTGACCTCCTCTAGGTTCTTGCGCACGTCTTCCAGGACTGTGGCACCAGGCGGGTCTTCGGCCACCTCCAGGGTCCCCGCCAGTTCGTGGTGCCAGTGCTGCTGGGCAGCTTTCAGGGCCGTCTGCCGCTTCCGCATGGAACGTGTCTGCCGCACTAGGAATTCCCTGGCATTACGGACAGCTACGCCCTCGGCAGAGAGGTAGTGCCGGACACTGTGGAGGACAGGCAGCGGAGAGGAAGAGGGGAGACAGGAAGAACTTTGCCCTGGGTCACAGGAACACACCTCCAGCAAACATTCACCGATCACACACAGTAGCTACTGGGCTGGGCAGCGTGCATGCAGGGATGCCCCTGCTAAATACCTTCAGATGGGACACATTGGGACTATCTGTCCCCAACCCTGACTCTAAGAGGGACTGTGCCTGTGCCTGTGCCTGTAGACAGACACCACACTCCCAACAATCTGACCCTCAGCCAGAGGTCAGTAGGGGCAGCAGTTTGGCTTGGCAGAGAATATTCCTCCATCCCTAGGCCTCCCTTTTGAGCCCAGCACCACTAGTAGTTACTGTCACTTTGGCTCTGTGGTGAGGTGGTCACTCACACCCCCTGCCCCATGGTACCTCTCACCCCAGAATATGACAGGCTGCAAGACCTCACCTGTCCATGGACAAGCCAGTCTCCTCCTTGCTCTGGGAGAGAGCAGACATTTCCTGGGTCTGGTTCTATGGACAGACATATGGTAGAAAAGACCCACTGAGGGAGACAAAAACAACCCCCTGCAAGCTAAAGACCTTAAAGCCCCTCCCAGTATCCTAGACAAGGAAACGGCTCTGCCAGAGGCCAAATCCTCTTCAGTTAGAGATATAACCATCTCATTGGTGAAGAGGGCAGGAGGTGGAGAACAGAAGGCCAAGTCCTAACAGAGCAGAGCCAGGCCCCCTCCTGACACACCCCCCACTCCTAATCCTCCCCCTCCTCCCCACCCACCCCTATTTCATCCCCCTGGCTCACAAGGGATTTCCTCAGGTCCTCAGTGCGGAGTTCTGGCTCAAAGTGTGAGGAAGCATTACTTTCCTCAACTGCCAGTTGCTTCAAGATGTCCTTCTTCCTCTGAGCTTCGGCCTCCAGGCTGCTATGGTGGGAAGGGAAAAGGCAGAGCTGTGAGGCACAGTCATGGGGTGGAGGGCCACTGACTGGGATCATCTGGATGCCCGCCCTCCCACGAGGCAGGGCTGAGGGCTGGCTTCCACGTTGGGCCCTCCCTGATCTCTGCTAATTGGGCCACAATGATAGGGCCTGAGTGGAAGTAGGCAATGATGATACTGGAGGTGGTAGGAGGCTGGCTGTAGGGATAGGAAGTGGCAGAAGGCTAGCTGTAGGAGCAGGAGGTGGTAAAAGGCTAGCTGTAGGGGCAGGAGGTGGTAGAAGGCTAGCTGTAGGGGCAGGACGTGGCAGAAGGCTAGCTGTAGGGATAGGAGGTGGTAGAAGGCTAGCTGTAGGGATAGGAGGTGGTAGAAGGCTAGCTGTAGGGGTAGGAGGTGGTAAAGGCTAGCTGTAGGGGCAGGAAGCGGTAGAAGGCTAGCTGTAGGGATAGGAGGTGGTAGAAGGCTAGCTGTAGGGATAGGAGGTGGTAGAAGGCTAGCTGTAGGGGCAGGAAGCGGTAGAAGGCTAGCTGTAGGGATAGGAGGTGGTAGAAGGCTAGCTGTAGGGGCAGGAGGTGGTAGGAGGCTAGCTGTAGGGATACGAGGTGGTAGAAGGCTAGCTGTAGGGGCAGGAGGTGGTAGAAGGCTAGCTGTAGGGGCAGGAAGCGGTAGAAGGCTAGCTGTAGGGATAGGAGGTGGTAGAAGGCTAGCTGTAGGGGCAGGAGGTGGTAGGAGGCTAGCTGTAGGGATACGAGGTGGTAGAAGGCTAGCTGTAGGGGCAGGAGGTGGTAGAAGGCTAGCTGTAGGGGCAGGAAGCGGTAGAAGGCTAGCTGTAGGGGCAGGAGGTGGTAGAAGGCTAGCTGTAGGGGCAGGAGGTAATAGAAGGCTAGTTGCAGGGGCAGGAGGTGGTAGAAGGCTAGCTGTAGGGGCAGGAGGCGGTAGAAGGCTAGCTGTAGGGATAGGAGGTGGTAGAAGGCTAGCTGTAGGGGCAGGAAGCGGTAGAAGGCTAGCTGTAGGGGCAGGAGGTAGTAGAAGGCTAGCTGTAGGGGCCTCTCCACCTGACGAGCTTCTGCAGCCTCTGACTCTGTGCCTGCAACAGATCCACCTGGGCCTCCAGATCCAACTTGTGGGCCCGCAGCTCCTCTAACCCTCTTCGGAGCTGTCGCTTTGACTCCAACAAATGCATGTGCTCCTTCTTTGCTTCCTCCAGGTGCTGCCGGGTGATTGTGACTTCCTGGGAGCAGAGGGAAAGATAGAACACCCAGCGACACAAAGGGCAAGGCCGGAGCCACTGAAGCTACTGGGGTGAGGGGTCTGCAAGGTCTGGAAGCCCCTAGCTTCTCACTTCAGCCCGACACCTTGAGATTCCCAAGATGTGTTCCACAGATTAGCATGATTTGTGAAATATGGGACAACAGAGTTTGGAGCCAGTGTCCCACACACTGCAGGTGAACACAACATGGGTTACAGAAGAAAACAAAGGGAAGGGAAGGCAGACAGACCTCTCTCTCCAGAGCAGCCCGCCTCTGCACATCCAGCAGCTGCTGCTCCTCCTTCCGTACAGTCTCCTCCTGGGGAAATACAGAGATGGGCCCTGGGATGATTGCAGAGCCCCAGGCTGGGGTACAGGCCTGGCCTCTCCAGAGACTCAGATTCTGTACTCCAGGCTGCCCTGAGCCAGGGCCCATCTATCTATCCAACGTGCTCACCTGGACACTCAGCTGAGCCAATCTGGCCTTGACATCCTTACTTCTGGTTTTAAGTTCCATCTCTAAATCTTGAAGTTTCCTTTCCTGCCCAGAAGTGTAATGAAAGAAATAGATATAGAAAGAGCATAAAGCATTAGGTAAGGAACAGGAGGCTCCTCACTCACCATGGCACACCATAACTTCCAGGCAGGCTCAGGCCTTGCCTCCTCCCACTGTGCCCCGCAGCCTAGGAAAGCACCCCGCCTTGCCAACCCGGAGGGCAAGGAGACTCAAACCTGCCACACACACCCTGCCTGTCTCCCCTGCCCACCCCAAAGGGGGCTCACCGTCCCTTCGAAGCCTGGGCATGCTCCAGGGCCCAGAAAACAAAGGCGCAAAGATGTCCCCAAGCTCAGACATGGCCACTGTGAGATGCCAGTCCTGAGGCTGCACCCGCATCAATCCCCAGCATGGAGATGGCTGAGGAACGACCCAGCCCGGGCCTCACCTGCTCCCGGTACCGGTGCCGCAAGTCCTCCAGCTGCTGGTCCTGCTGCTGCCTCACCGTCTCTAACTCCCGCTCGTGGACCCGTTGCAGGCGCTCGAGTTCCCCAGTCAGGTGTCCCAGGAGGTCAGCACGCTGCTTCCTCTCCTGCAAAGAGAGCAGGATGCCAGTGAGAGCCCGCAGTGGCTCCTCTCCTCACACCATGAAAATCAAGTCTTCCCCACGCAGCAGCCCTGGGAATCTACAAGGTCAGAGTCATCATCAGCTCTGCATCCCTAGCTGCCCACTGCCCTCCTCCCCACAGCTGCAGATGATGTTGGCCAGACGCCATGACGGAAGCCCCCTGTGCAGCAATTAGTCAATTATCACTAGACTTTAGCAAGGTCAGAATTGGTCAGGGAAGAAACATGGCAAAATTTCATCATAGGACCATTTCTTCCCTGGAAGATTACAGAACAAGTCTGGGATATAGATTCCAGGTACTGAAATAGAGTCTCTAAGACTCCATGGGGGTCAAGCAGTGGGCAAAAGTCACCACCTCACTCTGCCCCACTACCCCCAATGCAAGCAAACCAAATTGGCTTGAGTCCACTCAACCCTTGGGCCAAGCATAAAGCTGGGCAGACATTTCCTAAATACTGTTTGGCTCTTGACAATCAGTATTTCCTGCCCCCTAGTAGCATGGTGCTGGAGTGACTAAAACAAAGGGCTTTGGGACAGCTGTGGCAGAGTCCTTGCTCTTTTATGTGTCAGTGGGTGTGACCTTAGGAAGTTTCTTGGGTTCTCCAGGCCTTTGATGGTGAGGTAATGACAGTGCCCACCTCCCAAGGCCACCATAAGGACAAACAGGATAGGATGCCTAAAAGCCTGGAGCGGCACCTGGCATGCAGGGTCTGTCAGCTGTTACAACCACTGGATGCAACCCTCGGGGAGGGGTGTTTTTAGTAAAAAGCCAAACAGTGACTTCCCCACTGCAGGGTCACATGAGGAAGGCCTCAGAGTCCCTGACCATGGCAGCTGCCCTGCAGCCAGCTGGCAAGTACCCCCAGAACGGTGTGCAGATGCGTGTGTACACACGCATACCAGGGGTGTGGCAGAGCTACCTCGACTTCATACCACTCTCTGGTCTGGGCCATCACTTGCTTGTGCTCCTCCTTCATCTTGTCCATCTTCCTCTCGTGTTCCCTCTCCACTTCCTGGCGCTTCTCTCGCAGGAGGCTGCTGAGCTGTAGGGGAGGGAAGCAACAGGAATGCAACATGCATGATGCAGGGTAGACAGCACCCACGGCCCCGTCTTCCAGGTACCTGACAGTGTCCCTGGCATATTATCACACACAGCACCAAGGCACAAGAATGGCTGCACCTCAGCGCTACCTCCCTGAGGTATACAGGGCTGGGAATGGAGGACCTGGCCTTGAGGGAGTATTGGTGGAGTGATGGAACCAGAAATGCCAGCTCCCACTGAGCTGCTGGGCACTGAGGCTGGATGGCTCAATGGATCAGAACTAAGCCCACAGACCAGTACTCACCTCTTGCTCATACTCAATCACCTGGTGAGCCTTCTGGTGAGCTCTCTGCTCTGCCCACCCAAGGTTCTCCCCCAGATGAACCTCTTCTTTCTGTTGAACTTCCTCTATCTTCTTCTGGAGGCCACAGACCATCTGAGAAGGGACCAGCACATGCAGCGGTGTGACCCACCATGCCTGGGGACCAAGCAAGCACCCCAAGGCTTAAGGGGAAAGGGAGGCTCGCTCCACAGTGGCCAGCGCTGGGGTTGAACTCTCTCCACACCAGTAAGAAAGGGGATCCTAGGATGTCCAGGCTTGGCCCCCTCAGGCCAAACTGGCCACGTCTTACCTCCTGGTGCTTAGCTTCCAGCAAGGACTGGAGCCGCTCCAGCTCGGCACTGTGCTCCCTCTCTAGCCTTGCCACCGCCTGGGAAGCAACAGAGGCCTGTGAGGAAAGCAGCACATGAGGAACCCCCCCCCCGCCCCCACAAGGTAAGAGGCCAAGGGGAGTAGCAGGCACGTCGCTGCGCTTTGAAAATAACTCCGGGGCTCACTTTGGCAGCAAATATACTAAAATTGGAGATTAGCCTGGCCCCCGCGCCAAGGGTGACACGCAAACTTATGAAGTGTTCCATATTTTTTAAATAATAATAAAAGAACTCAGTTCCTAAGTCTGCGGCTGGCTCAGGGGCGCACCCTGCAGGTGGAGGACACCTCAGGCGGCAGGTCCAGGCTAGCTACAGGAACACAGTGAGCCATCAAGCTTGGGAGGGCTGGAGATTTTAGCAGCCCTATCTAGCTGCAGTTCTTCTAACTCCTTCCTCACCAGAAGAACAATTTTGCAAGGCCTGCTACTTCAGCTTGTGTCCTGGAGGTACAAACGGGAAGCTAGAGGGACAGGGAATAAGGACAAAAGGGAGGTCCCTCCCATTCCAAGGCAGGGAAGAAGGCCAGAGAAAGACGTGTGGGCTGCTGCCCTGCAGGGACAGGGTCAGGGCACCCTCATCTCCAGTCCTCTGGCCTGGGAAGTGTCCCAAATCCACTGGACACATGCTGTCCAGCCTCTGCCTCCTCCCTGCCACTGACAACCCCTGGCTGCTACCACCATCCAGCCCTTCCCCAAGGAGGCCTATTGCACCCTGCCGTGTCCTGCCAGGAAGGCCAGGCCAGCATCTTCCCTGAGCCCAGTGAGGTCCACTAGGTAATGGGTCCAGTCAGCTCTATCCAGGGCTCCCCTTCCTCTGGCCCCCTGGTCTCTCTTCAGGCAACCTGAGCTGGGGGTGGGGCTGCCCCCATTTGACTCACTTCTTTTCTTTCCTCTTCCAGCTGCTCCTTCAACTGCTGCAGAGCCAACTCGTTCTCAGCTTTCAAGACAACACAAGCTCTCCTCTCCGAAGCCTCCAGCTCCTCCCTGAGCTGCTCCAGCGCCTGCCTGCTTTTCTTTTCCAGGCCAGCCCTCTCAGCCTTCTCCTGAGATGCTGCCTCTTCTCTCAGCCTCTGCAGTAAAGCCTCCTGCTCGGCTCTGGGCAGACAGAACGCAATGGGCCCAGGCTGTGCATGGGCCCCTCTGGGTGCCAGGAAGCTTCCGGTATGTTCTTACCTCATTCGGTCCTCATCTGCTTCTGCACTGGATTGAACTTGGGCTCGAAGCTGGGACAGCCTTCGACCTTCCTCCTCTCTCATCAGAGCCTCCTCTTCCTCAGCAGCTTTCTGCAGCTGCTCCTTCAGGGCACTAAGCACAAACAGCAAGGTAGGGTTTTTTTCTGGTTTTTTTGTTTTTTTTTTTTGTAGATCATGGGACTTGAACTCTGGGCCTGGGCGCTGCCCCTCAGCTCTTCAGTTCAAGGCTAGCGCTCTACCACTTGAGCCACAGTACCACTTCTGGTTTCCTGGTGGTTTATTGGAGGTAAGAGTTTCACAGCTTTTCCTGCACAGGCTGGCTTTGAACCACAATCCTCAGATCTCAGCCTCCTGAGTGGCTAGGATTACAGGTATGAGCCACCGATGCCCAGCTGCAAGGTGGGTTTTTGGAGGAACCAGAGGCCTTTCCTGATCTACTCCGAGTCCCTGCCTCCCTGCCGCTAAGAGCACTACAAGCTTGACTATAAAGCATCGTATCTTACAGTTAGGTCTATCTTCAGCCTCTGGGTCCATGCTGTCTCTCCATGTTGCCTTCCCAGAGCAATGAGAGGCCGAAAACTCCATGGAAGCACATACAGGCTGCTGGGTCCCTGGCTCTCCTCTGCCTGCAGGTTGTTCTTAGCATGACATTATTCAAAGAATTCTACATCCACCTCAACCTGACTCTGGATCCACATTCTTCCACTCCCCAGTCTCCTGGCTGTTTTAGGTACCATGTCACCATCTCCACACCCAGAACATTCGGCCTTATCTCTTGGCCTCTGCTCTTGGTGACACTTCAATTTATCCTTTCTCTATCACACTGCATATATAGACCCTTCTATCCCATTCCACCCAATATCATGCCCCATATTGCATCATAATTAAGCTTTTCTATCTTTTCTCTCTTTACAGATATAAGAGCTTCTTTAGTGCAAAAGTCTCATCTTAAAATCTGCTATATCCCAATACTAGACACAGTAACTGACGTAGATGTTCAATAAATGTGCTTCTTTGAACACAATTATCCAGCCCCAGACCATAAACAAGCCTTGATTATCCAGGAAAGAAATCTGATTTGCAGACCAATGATAGCGGTTAGTATTTCCATCCAGAGCAGACATACTCCTGCTTTCACAAACCATAATTTTTTTAAGCCCCAAAAGATCAAGGGATACACGCTGTGCACTCAAGGAATTTAATGCTAAGAAAAACACAGTTGGAGCTGGGCACTGGTGGCTCACGCCTGTAACCCTGGCTACTAAGGAGGCTGAGATCTGAGGAACATGGTTCAAATCCAGACCAAGCAAGAAAGCACATAAGACTCTTATCTCCAATTAACTAACAGTGCCTAGGCCCCGAGTTCAAGCCTCAGGACTGGCAAAAAATAATCACAGTTTAAGCCAAGTATGGTGGTATATACCTACAATCCTAGCCCTCAGGAAGAAGAAAGGAAGACAAAATGCTTGAAGCTATCTTCAGCTATATATAGCAAGATCCTGTCTCAAACAAAACAAAACAAAGCCCTCATGAGTCTGAAGCCAATTTCTTTGAAAAGCTCTACAGAAAATTCCAAAGCCGAGGAAGATTTAGGATAATATCCTGCATTGCAAGTTATCAACACCACTGCTCTAAGAAAATCTAAGCCAAGCAAAAATCCCTCCTTCTAGGCTCCGTAGAAACACTTCCTCTTCTTCCCATGAATGTACACACAGATGTTGGAGCTGGCAGGAATATTAAAGGTGAAGTCTAATCTCTCCATTTTACAACTAAACCAAATGAGGGTCTAGCCTACTTGCTTCACTTAAAAAAAGAAAAGAAAAAAAAAAAACATTTGTTACAAAATCAGTTGTGGCTTTCTGTTGCCCAGTGGAAGCTTCCTAGCAGAGAGGAGGCCCCGACCCCTCAGAAAGGCTCCGGTGCAAACAGAAACGAGATTCTGCTTTAAGGAGAACCAAGCAAGGTTTTACTCACAGCGACATTACTTAGTTGAGACTAACTGAAACTATATTGATTTCAACTGAAAATAAATCCAAGTGCTGCCATTTACAGGCCCCAAGTTAGATCGTTCTGGCATGACAGTCTGTACCACACACTGACAGTGCTCACAGGAGACTCTCCCCTCTGGATGCAGGATGGGGGAAGGGTACGGAAAATACAGTTCCAGACCAAAGGTCAGGAAGATAGAAGAGCCAGCAGGACTACCTCCAAAGTGTCCCATCATAAGGTAAACTGAGTTACCCCTCGCTTGAATAGCCCCAGCCCCAGTGTTTAGTCATGTGGAGGAGCGTGCTATGTATGACAGAAGGACGTTGGATCTGCATACCCTGTGCTGCACTAAGGAGATTGTTCCTGGGCTTTCTTTTTTCCAAATTAGGCATAAATGTTTTATCCATTCTCTGCTCTGTATATCTAAAACTAGAAATTCTCTACCACTCTTAGATAATCTGTCTAAAAGAACAAGATTTAAATTGTCAACGAATACATTACTGTTTTCTAGAGCTCCTTTCCCACCCTTGGACTGTGACAGGTTGCTCACTCTCTCCACTATGTCCATTTGACTTTTCTTCTGAACTAATAGTGCTCTGATTTTTATTCTAGCACAGGAAAAAAAAAGTATTTCCCACGATCTCCTGCAACTGGGGAAATCGATAAGATACCAGGGAAGGTATTGACTAAGGTCTAGGAGCATCCCAGTGAAGACCAGCGTGGAGGAGGGGGTCCCTGCACCCCACATCACTCTGCAGGGCAAGAGCAGGACCTGAGGGTCTTCTCCTTCTGCTGGCGAAGCTGGCACATCTCCTCTTCCTCCTCCCGCTGCAGCTTCTCCCGCAGCTGCTGGATCTTCTCTTGCTGCAATTCCAGCAGCTGCTTCTGATGGTCCTCAAGGTCCTCAGCCACTGCCTCTCCCGTGGCCTTCAGTGCAACCAGTGAGAGCCACTTTAGGGGAACAGCAGGTTCTGTGGATAGCCTGCAGAGAGAGGCAGCAGCTCATCAGCACACTGCTGATATCCACTCAGCGACAGAACATCGTAGAGAGAACCCCAATGGAAGGTCCATAGACAAGGGTCTCAAATGCAAATCAGGCCACAAAAAGACAGACAATCAGATACAGTCAACATCTATTATACAGGACAATCCCTCCCTCCCTCCCCCCAAGAGGGTAAGATGCAAAGGCTGAGGGCTGAGAGCCATAACTGGCTCTCAGTAGACTTGGTAAGTTGTGGCCTGAGCTCAAAACCTAAAACTGTGTCAAGAGCTGGCAGCAGAGAATGTGAAGCTCTGGCCCTAACAGATTCTTCTCCAAAATGGCTCATAGCCCTGTATCCATGTCTCCTCCACTAGAGCCCTGACCACCACTTGAGACCCATGCCAGCAAATCAAAAATAGTTCCCAGAGACTGTTCATTGCCTCCCAAACTGAGCAGGCCAAGTCAATGCATATGAGCTGATGGAGCAGTAGCAAACTCCCCTCCCTTGCACCAAGGGAGTCAGTCTCTTTATTGAGCTAAAAATGGCAGGAGATTTTCACTTATTAAAAGTTAAAGGCTTAGAAATAGGCGAAAGAAAGTCAGAGTTGACCTGAATGCACAGGTGAGTGGTAAGGGATAATGGTATACTTTACAAGCTGTTTACAGAGTAATAAGGACTGTCATTTTGCTTGTTTCTGGTTCCTGAAAGAAATACCCAAGTGAACATCTGAGAACATTTTGAACAACAAAGGCCTAAGCAAGATAAAGTATTCACCTGCCAGGGTGAGCCTCTTAAAAGGCAGTAGGTGTTGGCACTGCTGGGTCCCTAAGCCTTGTGTTAGAAATTGATCTCGGCACACAGCCAGCACACTTCTTGCACGGTGCCTCGGACACTTCAGGCTGGCACAGTGGCTTAGGAACATGCAAGGCCTGAATCAAAGGGGACTGAGCAACAGTCAAACAGGGGGAGCCAATCATTGTCTCCCCCCAGTTTGGCACAGCAGCAGACAGGAGTGAGTAGGCAGGAGATCAGAAGGAAGAAAAAAAAAAGTTTAGGGGTTGGGGTTTTAGTTCAGTGGAAGAACACATGCCTGGCAAGTGCCAAGGCTCTGATTTTGGTCCTCAGTTCTGCAAATAAAAAACTGAGCTTGGGAATCCTACTGTAGCCCCTTGAGGTCAGAGAGAAGAAGACTGAAGAGGCTACAAAAGAAGCTGGAACACCATTAAGACTCCTCCTTCCCCCTTTCCTAAAAGCAGAACTCAGACCAGAAAGAGTCTCGAGGCATACCTTCAATTCTTTTCAGCTCCCAACTCGGTCTCCTCCCTCCTGCTAAATCCTGGCTTCCTCTGAGTCCCCACCCACAGCTTCACTGATTCAGACATAAGCGATGTGCCTGCCATCTCCTCTGAGATGCTACCTTTGGAAAGGGTCACCCCCCACCACCACCACAGCTCTCCGCCTCATCAACCCCCCAACTCATTTCCAACCTTGGCTGAAAACATCTTTTTTCCCTGTGATGGTACCTCTTAACGTCTGACTCCCTTGCGGGCTGTGCAAGCCCAGGGATGGATGGTGCAGGAAGAAGGGCATCAGCGGCAGCACGTGCCCTGCCACTAGTGAACCCATCCGTGCACCTGGCACACAGGCTAACAGAGTTGTTCCTCCCTCCCCTGTTATTTGAAAGACACCCAAACACCCCACTTAGGTCCAAAGCACTGAACTATTCCTGAAAGATCTAGAAGAAAATGGGACTCTACGGGAAAGAGTCAGGAAGGTTTCTAGGCCAACCCCTCAGGTATCAGCCTCAGTGAGCCCGTTTCTAACCATGACAAGGACAGCAGAGGCTCTGCAAGTCGCTCAGAGACACACCAATGAGGGAAAGAAGATGGGAATGCAGGGATGAAGAGGAAAGAAGGAGAAATGGTACCCCAGGAGTGTCCTCAAGCGGGGATTTCCATTAACACTGAGTAAGAATCAGAGAACTTGTCTCCTGTGACTGGACTCACCTACCAGTTCACTGCAAATCCTAGTCAAGATGCTAAGGTGATAAAAGGGAGGACCTTCATGGTCCCCCGTGTCTCAGTCTTCCGGCTACATGGCCTGGCCCTGCCCTTATGAGCACGTGCTCTGCTCCTAATCCCCCCTGATTTGGCTGTCAGATATAAGTACCTCCCCAAATACTCTGAAAACCAACTGGACCCTAAAACACTTACGAACATTAATAACAAGCAAGTTACTAGGCCTGAAGTACTTATTAGTAAAGGCAGGAAGGGGATAAACCGGGCTGGCAGGGTCAGGGAAAGTATCCGGAAACCCTAACAGAGACAGCATTGTCAGACTGAGGAGGAAACACAAAGTCAAGGTGCCAACCAGCCAAGATACCTGGGGAGAAGCTGGAGCTTGGGGCTCCCCTCCAGGGATCCAGGGAAGACAGCCCTCTGGCCTCTGCCTAGCCTGTCCTCTTTCTGAGGCTTCTCTCTCTTCTCTCCTCATGGAAAGTGCCCTGCTCTGCCTGTCAACAGTCACCAAGGAGACCTGGGGAGCCACTTGGCTCTGTGGGTCATGGCTTTCATTGCAGGATATAGTGCCATCTGAAAATATGGCCACTACTCCTTCTGTGACTCCTTAAGTGTCATGGTGACTACATGAGGATGTGAGAAAGCACCAGTGTCTGGCAATCCTTGGTGACACGTCCTTATTCATCATCAGTGTAGGAACAAGGCCTTGTAGCTCTCATTCACAGAGGAGGGTAGGAATAAATTCCAGCACTGGTCTTCCTCCGTGAAGAAAGTTCACTGGCTATACACCAGAAACCAGAAGTAGGGTCTAGTCCTAATTCTGCAAGTGACTAGTGCTGTAGCCTCCAAATCCTGTCACTTCCCTGAGCCTCCATGTCCTATCTAAACAAGAGGCAAGCAAAGCAAGTATGAAAGGATGGGTATTGATGGCCTATGCGTATAATCCTAGCTGCTCTAGAGGTTAGAGCTAGCCTAGGTAGGAAAATCTGTAAGATTCTTACTGCTAACTAGTCAGCAAAAAGCCAGAAGGGAACCTGTGGTTCGAGCGTAGACCACTAGCTTTGAGCAATAAAGCCCAAAGACAACACACAGGCCCTGAGTTCAAGCCCCAGGACTGGCAAAGAAAAAAAAAAAGCAAGTGTGAGGAAAGAAGTTTAGTGACTTCTAAAGTGCCACAGTGTCTGGCACATGTAAGTAAATAAAAAACACACTGAGCTCTGAACCCAACACATTTCCCAGTCCCAGCACATTCCATGTATACGAAGGCAGAAAACTGGAAAAATCAGCCTACAGGATGGAAGCCAGAGCAGTGGAGACCAGAGTAGGTGGATGAAGAAGGGAATGAGGAAACTTTCCAGAGAGATGGAAACAATTTGTGTGTCATTAACCTGAGTGGCTGCTGTGTGGTACACACACAAGCAGACAACCATTACTGAATGGTATAGTTCCAGTTTATAAACCTCAACACATATAAATACCTCAACAAAAAATGATTTAAAAAGAAAAGTTAGTATTTGCAACATGATTGACCAGGTTTCTGCTAATGAGCCAGAAGGTCTGTCTTTGTCTACTCTCATACCTGGGATCCTGACCAAGAGTTCCAGGACCTAAACTAACCTAAGACAAGGATCAGTGACGGTGACAGCTGCTGGCTCTCAGGAGGGACAGAGGGCACAAGGATGCACTCATCTCCCCCTGTGCTGCACTCCGGGGCTAGAACCACAGTACCACCTCCCAAACCACCAACAAAAGGGAATGGGCAGCACTCAAGCCATCCACACACAATAGGGACAAGAAGACACATAAAAGTGGCCCTTACACCTCTGGAGAGAGTGGCGGGGTGGGGCTGACGGCCACCTTCTTAGGCTCCTTGGCCTCTTCCTGCCCAGGGCCCAGCTCCTTGGCCTGGGAGTGCTGCTGCTCCTTGACCCTCTCGAGAGAAGGTGGGCTTGGGGCCTGCTCCCTTGAGAGAAATAAGGAGGTTAAAGCCAGTAGGAAGGCAAGAGGTTCAATTAGCGCCTCACTGGAGGTGAAAGACCTGTGGTGGCGATGAGCTGAGCAGGACAACCCCAGAAGGCTTTCCTACCTCCGACTCCAGCCTCCCTCCCCCTGTGGCCTCTCCTATGGCTGTTTTCACCTCCCTCTCACGGCCCAGCTCCAGTGTACACCCCAGCAACACACAGGGGGCCACCACCACCCTGGGGCCCTTCTCTTTCATCCTCACCTGTGGAGGGACACCACCAGTGGGCTGGGACTGGCTACAGAGTGCTCCGCAGGCTCCTCAGAGCCGTTACACTCAGGCTGCTCCTTGGGGATCTGCAGAGAACCCTCATCACTGGCCTCGCTGTGGAGGGGGCTGTGGAACCGCTGCCCATGCAGAAGAGGAGGCGATAACCTGGTTCGGCCAACAGAGCAGCAGTCAGGACCCTCTGTGTGGTGAGTAGGATTGGGAGGACAGTGGTCCCTGGGTTGGTCTCTCCTCAGGCAGTCCCCCACCTGTCCCCACACCCACACAGAGCTGCAAGGCACAGCAGTTGGATGTGCAGCAAGGAGACACTCTCCTAAGCTCAAGACTCAGTAGTTCACCAGGAATGGTGAACACGCTCACATAGGTCCACTCCTGGAGTTCATCATCACTGGGCCAGAGAGGGATGGAAGAGCTAGTGGAGACCAGGCTCATGTGGTCAGTCTACAGAAAATGCATGAGACTGCAGCACTAAGGAAGTGAAGATACAGAGAGCTTTCTAAGGTTCAAGAAAAGGATGACTATTTTGTTCCACTTCCGGGGGTGGGGAGGTCCCTCTCCTACTGGGGAAGTCTCTCTCCTATCAGGAGAGTTCCTCTCCTCCTGGAGGAGCTCCTCTCCACTGTAGCTCAGGTTGAGAAGCAGGGAGCCCCAGTCAGTCTCAGTGTCTCTGTCTGTCTCTCTCCCTCTAGTCCCTGAGAGCTGCCTCCCATGTATTGTACCTCTTCAAGCCTTTGGATTCCTTGCTTTGCGGCTCTCCTGGGCTGGACTGGCTGTCATCCTGCTCTTGTCTTCCTATCCCCTGGGCCTGCAGGCAAGAAGCAGTGGAAAGTGTACATTAGAGGAGTCTGGATTGCCCTGCTGGATCCCACACTTAGCTGCACTGAGAAGGAGCCCTGGAGAAGACAAGGTCCCAGGGGACACTGAACAGAAGACTCATAGAGCTGTGAAATGCAGCTCTATGAGCTCCAGCTAAGCCTCAGGCTTATAGCTGAAGCAGGGGGCAGATGATCACAGCCACTGCACACAGGGTCAGAACCCAGGGACAGAAAGAGAACACACATGAAAGAAATAATCCTGGAGCTGGGCGCTAGTGGCTCACACCTGTAATCCCAGCTACTCAGGAGGCTGAGATCTGAGGACCGTGGTTCAAAGCCAGCCCAGGCAGGAAAGTTCTGTAAGCCTCTCATCTCCAATTAACCACCATAAAAATGGAAGCAGTGCTGTGGCTCAAAGTGGTAGAGAGTGCCAAAGGGTTCAAGGACGATGCCCAGGCTCTGGGTTCAAGATCCACAACTGACCAAAATAAAAAGAAGAAATCCTGGCTTCCCAGTACTGGAAACCTGCAGTGCTAACTGCAAAGAGAGAGAACAGCTATCCATGAGCACCCCAAATCCAAAGAGGTCTAGGTGAGCAGTATCAACAATATACAGGGTGCTGAATTTAAGTGGGAAGACTGAAGACAGCAGGCAAGAACATTAGAAAAGAATAAATCTGAAGAGCAGGGATCTTAATGAAGAAAGAAAAAGCTGTGCCCCAAACCAAAAGGTCTCCAGCCAGCACCAGGAAGCGGGGGGGGGGGGGGGGACACAGTGACATTCTCTTTACTGCCCCATTCCAGGCTTGCCTAGGGACATGGGTCCCATTAGTAGACCAGAATGTCCCCTTTTCCAGTCTAGGATTATATCATCCATTCAAAAATAAAACCCCAAAGCTTATTTTAAGTCTTGGTATCTAGGCAAACTTAGCAAGCTGATGAGAAAAAGACAGTGAGAGCAAGTAAGAGAGAATTCTTAATGATGGCAAATATCTCCCGCAAGGGTACAGTGATGCAATCAGCCTGGGCCATTCTTCGTTCTAGCACTTCCTGCCTAGAAGGCCAACTCCTCCACTGTACAATGGGAGAGAAGCCCACTGCTCCCGTGTGAGGATTAAATGAGATCATGTACGTGAAGCCTGACTCCTGAGCTGAAGAAGGCATGCCACAAATGTTAGCGTCTCCTCACATGCCTCTTCCTCTCCACTAGCCTACAGCAATAAGGAAAAAGAAGAGGCTTTGCCAGTGCTGGTCCCCATTCTAAGACCCACACTCCTTCTGCCACAGCAACGGGAGCCCCGTCTGTTCTGGGGCACAAGGGTCAACAGGAGAGGCAGAACAGGAGACAGTTCACTCCGTCTTCCCCATGGGGTCCCCAGCCCCGTGCCCACCACCCCCCACACCTCTCCACTGGCAGTCTGAGCCCCAGCAGCTGTGGCTGACTCTGCCATCTGGATGGACGAGGAAGGGCAGAGCTTGAACTAAAACCCAGCTCCCCCAAATTACATTAAAAATAGCAATGCCTCCTGTGAGCACCTCTCAGAGCCTGCAGCAGAAGGGCTCCCCGCCAGAGCTGCCAGTCCTCATCCCATCAGCCTGGGCAGAGCCTGCAGACAATGCCAGGGGTAAGCAGCCCTCCTGCCCCACCTCTTTCTCCTTCCATTGTTCAACTTACAACATGGCTTTACCACTAAACCATACAAGCTCATCAAATGGCTCCTTTTCTCACTTTTCAAGGGATAAATAATAATCACACAAGCCTGTAATCCTAGGCTGTGATCTGGGGACCAGTGTTCAAAGCCAGCCAGGGCAGGAAAGTCTATGAGACTCTTACACACACACACACACACACACAAATTGAGAACTTAATCTGAGTCAAAAGAACACACACACACACACACACACACACACACACACACACACACACACATATACACATACCCCACAAGGGACAAGGGATAAAAATTGAGAACTTAAGCTGTGTCAAAAGAACTCCAGGGGAAGGGCAGCAGGGAAGGTAGGGGAAAAACAAGGGAAGAGGCAACACTGCCTGATAGAAAATGTACTCATTACCTTGCCCAAGTACTGTAACCCCTCTGAACACTATTTTTACAATTAAAAACATATTTAAAAAAAGAACTCCAGTGCTCAACACTAACTGCAGAAGCAAATAAGCAGGCAGGTCTTTCTGTCTGATCCCTTCTTACTGCATCTTCTATATTTTCACAGCAAACTGAGTGAGCTCCCATGGCATAGAAGATACACAGAAAAGGGTCCTTTAAATAGGCTTACCTATTTCTTAGACCTTCTTGCCCCAGAAAAAGCAGCAATGCCAGGTAAGTAACAGTAATCAGCCAGGTCAGCACTGTTTGGAAAGGGGAGGCATCAAGCACAGCCTGAGTCTCTGGCTTTACCTGCTCAATACTACATCTCCATCCCTAGCTCAGCTAGGAGGCAAAAAGATGTTTTTGGTACTAGGGATTGAACCCAGATCCTCATGTTTGCCAGGCAACTGCTCTACCACTGGGCTACACCCCCAGCCCTTTTATTTCATTTTGGAGAGAGCTTCTCATTAACTTTGCCTAGGCTGGCCTTGAACTCTACATCTTCCCTCTCTATAATGCCTGGTCTTACCGGCATGCATTACAACACCTGGCTTAAAGATTTTTGTTCAAGATCCAGACCAAAGTGAAGGCAAACCCTCAAACTTGCAGACATCAGGTGCCAAAATCCCTCTTCTATCCATCAAGGAAAAAAATAAACCTCTTCTTAACTTAGGCTCCTAAAGACAGAGTCTGTGTTTTAGTCATCCTGTTTGTGCCAGAAGTCCTCAGGAAACACTGACCTCACATCTGGCAGGGAAGGCAAACATCCACAACATACAACATAAATTAAGACGTCTCAAGGAAAGCAAAGGAGGAAACGGAAGCGGCATCGCAAGTCAGCCTCCATGATCAGGAAAGAGTTTGCTGGGCAGAAGGGGCAACAGCAGGTAGGCAGTAATGGAGTTGGAGAATGTGTTTGAGGAAAAGCGAGTGGCAGACCCAGTTTGATGGGTGGCAGGTGGGCTGAGCATGAGGCTGAGAGGGATGGGTGGGCCGGGATGGGTGGGCCAGGCAGGGCAGTGCCTTGAAATCGACCATCTCCACAGTGCTGAGCATGAGCAGGTGGTCAATCTACAGGCACTGAACAAACACAGAGAGAAACGTTTTCATTCGCAGCAGAAACAGAACAGGAATGGTGAGAAGTGTCATCAAAGGCATAGCCAGGGCAGTGGCTTATGGAAGTGGAAGGAAGAGAACGCATGCTGTGACTGGGCAGGAATCATCCCTGGGTTATCCCAAAAAGGGACTGGTAGGGAAAAATGAGGCACCAGCCCAGCCCAACACCCAAAGACTCACCTCCCAGCAAGCTCTATCCAGGACTGGGGATAGCATGTCACCATCTAACAGCTGCTCTGAGATCCGGCTGCGAAAACCAAAATCCTGGAGAGACTGGGGAGAAAAGCCTGCTCTGTCTCTGTCACAGTGTAAGCTCACTGGGTCTTTCCACCCCACCACCCTGCCTCCTTGCCTCCCCGGCTCTCCTCCTCCCCCTCCCAGCTAACATCAATCCGCCAGAACAGCATCTACTGTGTACCAGGCTCTGTGCTAAGTGTCCACATCTACTGATTTCATTTTTAAAGTGACTAGGTTGAAAGACATATGAGAATGAAAGTACTGTAAAATATCATAAATGCAAAGTAGGGAAATTCCTTTAATTTTTCTATTCATTTAAAACTTTTCACAGTGCACAAAAAATAACCCTATGAGACTGAAACTCTTGTCCTCCTCTCACAGAAGCAGAAATAAGTTGAGGTCACCCAGCTTATAAGCAAAGCTAGGGTCAAATGGGCCCTGGGGCAGACCCCCATGACACATGCTACAAAGCCTGTCACTTTATGGCTGTTTCTCCTGCTCAGTATCCAACCAGGATACCAGCAATGCCAGAAAACCTGTGGGCAGCTTGGAAATGAGGACTGGTGGGCTCTTTCCAGCTCATCCCTTCCCCCTTTCCCACACAGGTGTCCTTCTGGATGATGGAGATTAATTACCAGTGCTTTCTCCACAAGCTTCTCTTGGGGACAGGCGGCTGGTGCTCATACCAGGGCCAGCTCCTTGCTGCCCTTTAGCTACCACACAGCCACCTTCCACCCCTTCTGAGCCTAAGAACCATGCTTCCCTGAGTGAAGGCTGGATACCTGACAGCATCTAATGGGGACAGTTCTGTCATCAGTCTGATAAATGGCGGGACGCCCAGATAAGGTGTGGTCCTGCTGTCCACGGACTCCTCTCTTCACTCTCAAGAAGAAGAAAAATGCTGATGGGCATATTTTGGCTATATGCCATCTTTTCAGGAAGGGTTAGACCCCCTTGCTTCCAAGAGTTTGGTGACATGGCTATTCTTCACGTGTGGCTTTTGCCAACAACATGACTTTTTCTTTCTCTTCCTAGCTTGCGGGACTTTTTAATTTTTTTTAATTTTTTTATTTTTGGTGGTATTTTCCTTGCAGTTTGAGTCCTATGCCACCTAATACAGCTGCCATCTGTCTCTTAAGCCCAAGGCTCGGTGTAGGGCCAGAACACACAGCTGCCTAATTCCTGTGCACTCCTCATATTATCGCTGTTCATCCTTGACCCTCTCCACTAATCCCGTCCCTGTCATCTGCCTCCTCCAAACAGATGGAGGTGCCTTGTAGGATAATGCTTGCCCAGAAAGCACTGAAACTCCTCCCCTTAGACTGAGACCTGGCAAACAGAATCAGGACATAGCAGGATGGGTGGAAGGTCTGAGACAAAGAAACCATGGATGCTGGCAGTCCAGGACAAAGCCTTAACTTTAAAAGGAAAACCACAAGCCAAGCACCAGAGGCTCAGCCTGTAATACTAGCTACTTAGGAGACTCAGACCTGAAGGTTCACAGTCTGAAGCAGCCTGGGGAAGACTCCATCTCCACTTAACCGGCAAAAAATTAGATTGGAGGCATGGCTTAGGTGGTAGAGTATCAGCTGTAAGCAAGAAAGCTGAGAGGATGAAGCTCTGAGTTCAAACCCCAGTAGAGGAAAACTATAGAAGCAAAAAAGAAACTACAGCAGTCCTCCTGGCCAGAGCATAGGGCCCATCCTTACCATAGCTCAGTGATCCCAAAGACACATTGGCTTCCTCAGTTTGTGCACTAGTCCTTCTAGAACTCTGAGGCTCATCACATGATCTCACAGGAAATACTCTGCTACATTTAGTGGTTACTCCTATTTTATGTATTCTATTTTATGTTCTCTGCCCTACCCTACCCTTCTCACAGCAAAACAACAGTGTCATGCTTCAAGAAACTATAGCTAACGAGACATAAATTTAAGTCCTAACTTGCCTACTTACTAGCTGTGTGACACTATTTATTTAACCCTGAGGACAAAAAATTCATCCACCATATTGTTTCCCTTTACTGCAAACTCACCAGACCAAGGAAAGACTTGGGGTCAGAGGCCATGGAGTCTGAGAGATGTTCCTTCACATATCCCATGATCTCTGACACCTGGGGAGACAGAACCATGGAAAAATTCCCAGAGTAAAGCACAGAGGGTCAGTGTCACTATCCAGGGTATTCCCATCAGGCCACAGTACCAACACAGGACATGCACCAGCCCACTGACAGGGAACCCTACCCAACATGAATAACCATACCCTGAATCAAATCAACAAGAGCTGACATAAGTGAGGAAAGCCAAGTGCACTGGAGATGGATAAAAAGCTGGAAGTAAAGGTCAGGAGGCATTGGTTCATCAGTAAACTGCCAGTATGAACTTGAACTCTCAAGTTCAAACTCCAGTAGCACACACCCAAAAAAAGGCAGCAATGCACACATTTGATGCTATCCTAAAAAATGTGATGAGCCAGGCACCCGTAGCTCACACCTGTAATCCTAGCTACTTCAGAGGCTGAGATCTGAATATCGCAGTACAAAGCTACCCCAGGCAGGAAAGTTCATGAGACTCTTATCTCCAATCAAACACCACAAAAGCCAGAAGTAGAGCTGTGGCTCAAAGTGGTAGAGCACTAGCCTTGAGTACAAAAGCTCATCAGGGACAGCATCCAGGCCCTGAGTTCAAGCCCCAGGACAAAAAACAAAAAACTTGGATAGCATCTTTTTTATGAAGTAAATGTTCTTTAAATAAATTCTCTCATGGTCTACCTAGAAGAACAAGATTAAGGGTAGGAAAGTTGACAATGCTGAAGGCTCTTCACTTAGATCTACTTCTGTCCACCTTGTTTACTGGTCTTGCCTTGGGAAAGCACCACTTTCATGTTCTGTGAAGGTCCAGAAAGAAACACAGAAACAGATATAAGGAATCTTCCTATAACCTAAGCTATCTAAGCTGGAGCAGAACACTCCCAACTGTGGTAACCTTCACCCTTTCCTACATCTAGGCATATACGCATGCATGAGCACACACACACACACACACACACACACACACACACACAAACATACACACACCTCCTTATAAGAACTTATACTAGAGCAAACCAAGTCTAGAAGTAGAAAGCAGAGGTAGGGAAAGGGAAGAGGAAGTAGGAGAAGAGAGTCATGAAAATCCTAGGAGGGGGCCACAGTAAAGCAGGTTTCTACTCTGAATTTCCAGTGCCAGCAGGTTTTCAGTTTCATTCAAGGTTTTACAGCCTGCTGGGTCTGGGCGTATTTGTCACAATTAAAGGTTCTGGCTGATGCTGACAGCCCAGTGCAGAACCTGCAAATAAATGGAAGCCCCTGACTCAGTAATAAAGACGTGAAGCTAGGAAGCTGTACAGGGCTGGAGAGAGCAACAGAGGGTGACAATCGGCAAGAGCCCGAGGGACACAATAACATACCTCGCTGGCATCAGATCTGCTCTCTTTCATGCCAGAAGCCTCCTTCTTGGCCTCCTTCACTGCCTCTTCCATCTTGGAATCCTCCTCTCCTGTATCTACCAAATCTTCCAGTGGCTTCTTTTTAGAAGGCAGGCTTTTTAGAGCAGGCTGGTCCTCCCCATGCTTTGTTCCAGAGACCACTGGACTCATGGGAGCCCTAAGATCAGTCTTCTCATCCTCTTCTTTTTCTGGGGGCCAAAGACTCCCTCTTTCCTTTTGCTCAATGCCATCAGCAACGCTCAGGCTGCTGTCTGCACCTTGGCTGAAGAGGTTGCCAGGAGAGGGGGGCCTGGCAATGTCTGGGTCAAGAGAAACATCCTTCTTCTCCTCTGGCTGGCTTGATCTTGGAGAGTCCTGGGGAAGAACAGGCCATATCAGAAAGGAAGGCACAAGGGTTGCAGAAGAGGATTTTAACAACATGCTACAACACACAGTGCTATTTGTGTTTGAGTTCTGACCTCAGTGGTTTTCTAATACCCAAATGGCTTTTTAAAACACAGTTCCTACACATATACATGCATACACATGCATACATAGTCCAGATCTACTGATTCAGAATTCGGCTGGTGATGTACATACACCGGCTGAGCCCCTATCCACTGCTGAGCCTGAAAACCACTGCAACTCTGTCCTCTCTCATGTCCTCCAGTAATCAATCTATCTCATTCCAACATTAGCCAGATCATAAGATTGCACACTTATTTATTATGCCAATATTTATTGAAAGATGAAAATGGACAATAGGTGAGAGAAAGGTGGAAAAGTCTAAAATTTCTTTCTTCTTTTTCACAGGCAGCAGGGGAAAATGAAGAGGGTGTCTTTCGCTCCAAAGCCTGCCTATACAAGCTCATCACTGGCAACCCTGCAGACAGCATTCTCTGTGCAGAACTGTGGATCTGAGTCCTCTGAGAAGCAGATGCTGAGATGGAGTTGGATATTCAAAAGGTTTATTAGGGAGAAGCCTAGGGCAGATAAAGGAGGCAGAGAGAGCTTTCAGGATACAACACAGATCTGTGTCTATGACAGACAGGAGGAAGCAAGTATAACACAGTCTAGGAAAAGTACTGGCCAGTTCAGTATAATTCCCAAGCCATCAGAGAAGTCTCTTTTCAGTCATAAAACACTCTCATTTCTGAGGGGGGAAGGGGAAGGGGTGGTCATGGAGCTTGAACTCAGGGCCTGGGTGCTCTTCCTGAGCACCTTTGCTCAAGACTAGTGCTCTACACTTTGAGCCACAGCTCCACTTCCAGTTTTCTGGTGGTTAATTAGAAATAAGAGTCTCATGGACTTTCTTGCTTTGAACCACAGTCCTCAGGTCTCAGCCTCCTAAGTAGCTAAGATTACCTGTGTGAGCTTCTAGTGCCCGGTGACCCTCCTTTCTGGAAGAACCACTGTCTGGGCATCAGCCAGTAGCTGGCAGCTCTCAGCCATGTTCAGGAGAATCTGTGTGTGTGTGTGTGTGTGTGTGTGTGTGTGTGTGTGTGTGTGTGTATGTGTGTGTGTGTGTGT